AGAGATGACATATGAACTTTACAGGAAACACTTTGTCACCAATAAGGTACCTATTTTGGATTACAAGACTTACCCCTTTAATACCATGCAACCATACTTCCAAATCAAAAGTGTCCATCCTTCTACACAATTCCCTGAGAGTAGAACTCCTCCAAAATCAAAAGGACAGCCAAGGCAGATTTATCATACTTCATTGTATTATTAATGATATGCCATATGTATTGGTAAACCTTTACTGTCCAAACACAACCCAGATACATTTTCTCCACAGGTTCTTGACGAAACTACCCAAATTACATGCTGCCTCAGCGATTCTATGTGGTGACCTAAATCACCCTTTGGATTGCCACATAGACACCACTTTACACGACAAAGCCCCCAGGCACTCTAATGAAATCGCAGAGCAAAGCAATAAATTTATTAATAAGGGAATATGGCGAACATGCCACCCTACCGAACAAGCCTTCACCTACCACTCCATGTTACATAAACCATACTCCCTTACCTTTAATAAAATTTTAAAAGCGGGACCTCTACTTCCCAAAGTTACAGGGAGAGACATTGGGGACAGTCTGTTTGGACCATGCATCAACCATTCTAGAACTTGAGGGTGACTACCAACATAGAGGGAAGCCACCCTTGCACCTTAATGCTTCACTCCTACATGACCACAAAGTCACCCGACAGCTTTCCGACTATCCAAACATATTTTACACTTAATGATACCCCAGACATCCACACCAATAACTCTGTGGCAAGCCCAAAAATCGGTTATCAGGGGCCTCCTGATAAGTCATGCCTCTTTCTTAAAAAGAGAGCCCACGCGGAATATATCTCGCACACTACTAACACCCACACAAAGAGCCCTACTCCTCATATTTTACGGGACACCTGCTTGCATTAATGACGTTGCACTAGTAAAGACCACTCACATTACAGAAGCTGAAAAACATATTCCCAGGGAAACAAAGCCGGGAAAACTTTGGCAGCGCTACTGCGTTAAGCAGGCCAATTCAAAAATACCATACTTGCTTATGAACAAAGAAACCAAACTACACAACCCACAAGACATAAATGATGCAATGGCGACATACTACCATACGTTGTACTATCTTAAAGACAATTATGGGGAAAGCATTGGATTGGCTGAAATCAGCAAGGGGACGGGATCAAACACCGTTTTGGCCAGTCAGCACCTCATCATAAAGATACAATGAATCAATGCATCTCTATGAGGAAAATTCAGTGTCCCCATGCAGAGTGTGGAGACGCTGAACGGCACTGCTGCCTACTATGCAGCACTAAGCCAGGAAGCACCTCCATCTGAGGAGTGGCCACTTGGAGGTGTCTCTAGGGGCAACGTAAACACTTTTTCTCTGAAAAGGCAGTGTTTGCTTAAAAATGCCTGCATTAAGCTGTAGCTGTTCTGGTGACTATAGTGTACCTTTAAAATACCCCTTTGGTGTACTGTAGTGAGACATGCAACTCTGTAGCTGCTCCTGATCATACCTTACCTAGCACACGCACTTTACTGAGTGGAACGATGGCTACGACTAGGAGTCGTCTCAGTTGCCCCTTTCTTCCCCCTCCCACCCCCCTTTTTACTTTTCCCAACTATATTTTTATGTCTAACATTGTCTCCGCTACTATTCGAATGCTACAATTTACTCACTAAATGTCAGAACCTAGCATAACATAATTATATTTTATTAATATGCTGCGGACAATGACCAATTGAAATTTTTACCTTTTACACCTCCACCCCTTTTCTCTCTTCTGTGAGTTTAAAAATAAAAAAAAAATAAAAATATTAAAAACGAGAATTATATATTAAAAAAAAAAATATAGATAGAGGAGAAGATAGACCAGCTGCACAGCCTAAATCTGTGGAACTGTTTTGGGCATGAAAGCCATGCTTGCAGTCTGTCAAATGTGACTTACATAAAACATTTGAACCCCTGCTCTGATCTGGGTAATTTTTGGATATCTTGTTCACCCAGATCAGAGCTATCCAGGGATGAATGATTTATAGGGAGATGTTGTTGTTTTGGGGTGTTTGTGTTTTGGGTTAAAAAAAACTGTATATTTTCTGCCTGTGGTAATTACGTTAGCCCATTGTGTTCAGTAATTATATCACAGGCAGAGGGGAGGGTTTGTGTGCCTTAGCTGGGAGTGCCTGACTGTACTGTACTGTGTTGATTGGCTGTTGTAACATTGTGTCCTGTGTGCCACAAGGTCCACGTGGGTGGTAACCTTGTGGGAAAATGTGTATATAAGAAATTCCTGTGTGCTCATTAAACCAGATCTACTTGACCCTCAACTTGACTCATGTTTGGAGGGGACAGCTATAATTACTACAGGGATTGCTATGCTCTGCATATTCCCTTAGCTTCATTGAGCTCTTGTAAGAGCTCGTTCCTGATCCTGCTTCGCTCTCTGGGAGGAAGAGAGGTTCCCCCACTGGAACCTGGAGCCTTGTCGTAGATCCAGGGTGGGTAGGAGATGGCGAGACCCCAAACCAGCAGCGGCGGTTCATGGGGTCTGCAGTATTTATGGTGTCTGCGGTGCTGATGGTCCTTGGTGAGTGCTAGGAGCATCCTTTCTTCGGTCCAACCCTCAGCTAGCCTGGGGCAACCGTAACAAGGATACATTACCTAAATCAAAAAGAGGGCACTTATTACAATGTGTGGGTATGAAGTGTTTTTTACATCACCCTTCCTGATGTGTTTAAGAGTTCCATTAACCTAATTTTAACCTTACACCCGGTCTATGTATATTTCTGAATGTGTGGAAGTGGTTAACAGTATGTAGGGAGGACAGGGTGTAGGGATAAAATTAGACTTGGACATTTCAGAAATTTTCGTTCCGTACGAATGTATTCGTACGAAAAAGAAAATAGTTTCGTCAGAACCGAAATTAGTCAATTCTTTCATTCGTTTTCGTACGATATTCGTTAGTATTTTCGCTTTGGCTAAACTCGTTCGTTCATTCGGCGCGATTTAATTGAACCAAATGAATTGAATACATAAAACTATGTTCCCTAATCCCTAAATACCGAATAGCTTCAACCGAACTCAGTAAAACCATTAGTTTCAAATGTTGTACATTGCTCTAACATGGCATTGAATGCTGTATTTCGTTTAATTTGCATTGCTTTTGCTTAGTTTCTTGGGCTCATGAATCATCATGCTTCCCTGACAGGTGGTACTGGCAACACAGTATCATTTTATAAGGGAGTGGGAAGGTAGTAGCCAATTAAATAAGCTTTTACATACTGCCAGACAAAACTGTAAAAAAAAACAAAAAAAAAACAAAAAGGCAGTCCTTCAATGCAAAATCTATCCAGATTTTCTATAGGCCAGCCATTCAGCCATTTTGGAGCACAGCCAGCCCACCACCCTGTCAGCCATTTTAGGCACTTGGACACTGAGCCTGCCAGAAGTGGTCATGTCCTCCTCCAGCTCCTCAAGCGACAGTCATGGATGTAGTGGAGGGGGGCAGGAGGTAGGAAAAGCCAGTGGGAGAAGCAAGAAGAAGCAGCCCAGGATCTTAAAAGGAGCAGATCCTGGGAGGAAGAATAAGTACGCAGATAGCTTTCGTGCAGAGGAGAATACAGTACTGGTAAACAATATATTTGGGGGAGCAGCCAAAAAGAGTTCAAGAGCATAAAAGTTGGTGGAGGAAGATTGTAGCAGCGGTGAATGCTGTTGGAGGGAACAACCGCACCCAGGACGTGGTGAAGAAGCGCCAAGTGCACTTATATTGCTAAAAAATAATTTTCTTTACGCCATGTTTTTTTTAAACTTATTTTTTTCTCCATGTGCTTTTGCTACACACCCCCACCAGTGGCAGCTATGCTTTTAAAGTCTTTTAAAAGTGAGGGTTGGGTCACTTAAACACAGAGGGAAAAAAACACCATGTGCAGCTCAGTTTTAAAGGAACACTATAGTGACAGGAATACATGTTTGTATTCCTGTCACTATAACTGTGAAAGCACAGTTTAACCTCCCTCTCAGCAATGTAACTAATTAAAGGGACACCAGTGCCAGGAGACCAAACCGTTTTCCTGGCACTGCAGGTCCCCTCTCGATCCCACCCCCCATCCCAGGGGGAGACCGATTGCGCATGAGCTGCCGCTGGCAGGGTGAGACCTAATGTGCATGCGCGGCAATGCTGCACATGCACATTAGACCTTCCCATAGAAAAGCATTGAGAAATGCTTTCCTATGGGGGTTTCAGCGACGCCACTAGAGGAGGAGTTAACCCTGCAAGGTAAATATTGCAGTTTGTGAAAACTGCAATATTTATTTACAGTTGCAGGGTTAAGTGCCTGGAGTGTCCCTTTAATTACTCATCCTTATAGCAGAGCTGTGCTCTGCCTCTTTGGCTGCGATCTTCATAATTGACAAGATCAGCAAATACAATGCTTTCCCATAGGAAAGCATTGGGAGGCTGTCATGTTGCAAAACGCCGCTGTTCTATCAGATATCTATATCTATCAGATTTCTATATTGACGTCACTTCCGGTGCCCCCATGTCACCAGAAGTAACGCGATATCAGCTGCGCGCTAGCAGGCCTCAAGGTATAGAATTCTGGTGGAGACACCGCGAGCATTTGTGCCGCCTCTGATGACGCTCGATCAGCTGGGCCTTTAATCTGAAGAGTGTACCGCGCATGCGCACAGCACATCCCTCAGATATAGCAATCGGATGGATTTCTGTACCACAACTTTCACTGTGTAGTAGCATACACAGTGTAGGCGAATGTGGTGTTAAATAAGGGAGATGCACGGTTAATGAGGGTGACACACAGGGATAGGGGGTTAAGAGGGGTGATACACATGGGATGTGACCAAAAGTTGCCTAACAACCCAGAAGTCCCTCTAGTGGCCGTCTGGTAGCCAGCCACTAGAGGTGGAGTTAACACAAAGATAATTATTGCAGTTACACTTGCAGTAGTTACCTTTACACGGTTAAGGGACCTGGGACACTGAACCCAGACCACGTCAATGCGCTTAATTGGTCTGGGTGCCTATAGTATCCCTTTAAACATGTCAGTAAACATATATATAGAAACATATTAAAGTAATTAATCAATTACACGTCATTGCAGTTACTACGACATCAGGCGGATGCTGAAGAGGAAGGTGAAGGCAGCAGCCGCCTCCAGGAAAACAGGAGGCGGTTCACAAGAACTGGACCTGCTGCCCTATGAAGAGGAGCTCCTGCAGTTCCTGGGAAGAGACAACCTCCTTGGGATTGAGGGGACAACTGTCGCTGAAACATCTGAAGGTACGATGTTAAAGGACCACTATAGTGCCAGGAAAACAAACTTGTTTTCCTGGCACTGTAGGGTAATTAGGTCCCTCCCCACCCTCGTGGCCGCCTTCCCACTTCAGCCACTTACCTTTCTCCAACCCCTTCAGCCACTTTCCTTTCTCCAGCGCCGGGCTCCCTCGGCACTGGGGAACACTCCTCCCTCTGCTGACGTCAGCTACGAATGCGCAGCAAGAGCCATTCGCGCATTCAAACCACCCATAGGAAAGCATTACTCACTGCTTTCCTATGGACGTCCAGCATCTTCTCACTGTGATTTTCACAGTGAGAATCGCGGAAGCACCTCTAGTGGCTGTCAGTGAGACAGCCACTAGAGGCTGGATTAACCCTCAGTGAAACAGCAGTTTCTCTAGAAATGCTATGTTTTCAGCTGCAGGCTTTAAACTAGAGGGACCTGGCACCTAGACCACTTCACTGAGCTGAAGTGGTCTGGGTGCCTATAGTGGTCCTTTAAATTCATATTTGTTAGTCGAAATGTACATATATCAGTTTGCTTGTGTTAACCTTCCAGTGTGTGTTTTCTATGCCATCAGTGCAAGCCCCTCAATCCCCAGAAGAGGCACCAGGAACTGCAGGAGATGCAGTCTCCACGGAGAGCAGGGCAGCAGGTTCACCTCCTATCTCCCAGGAAATGCACCTGGCTTCACTTTCCTCTCGTAAGTACTTGCATAGCATTGTTAGATAAATGTTATGTGTGTGTGTGTGTGTGTGTGTGTGTGCGTGCACATTTAAACACACACACGTATGTGATTTTACTGTATATGAAGTTAATTTATCACATACATGTATTTCAGACCATCCGCAACTAGTCTACGTTCCTTCACCACGTACGAGTGTGGTTTCCCTCCAACAGCCGGCCACTGGTGTCCAGGAACAGGGATCCACTGCTGAGCGTAAGTAAAAAATGCTTTATCTATACACATTTTCTTTGCAGGCATACTAGTTTATGTAACAGGCAGGGCCGGGTCGACCGCTAAGTATACTAAGCGTCTGCCTAGCACACACTGGCCAGGGGGCTCAATGTCTGGGTGACCAGCAGGGGTGAGCTCACATCGCTACTCTCCTTCTGTTCACTTTATGTACTGTGGCTGAGTGGACCACGTGTGATCTTATCTACCATCTACTTGGCCTGACAGGAAGCTGAGTGCAACGATCAGCTTCCTTTCATGCAGAAGAAACAGGAGATTCTCTACCTGGGGACACTCTGTCACGATACATGTAGTGAGATTAGAAGGAAAGGGAGGTGGGCACAAAAACATGCATTGAGAGGTCACAAAGACAGAGAAAGGGCTAGGGGGGACAAAGATGCATAACTATACTTCGACATAATAAATTAATAGCATGACTGCATATATCTTATTTCCAAGTTTAAATAATATTGTTGTACAGATAATAGTAAGCATTGCAACATATGACACATGCTAACAATGTTCTTTCTCTGTTCTCCCCTATAGGTTCTGATGGTACTCTCCCCCTGCAAGAGGATCCTGATTCAGTGACATCAGTGGCCGAAGAAATGCAGTTGCTACAACTTCCTCCACCGTTGGCTGCGCTGTATGCGACGATCCAGGCTCGTCAAGCTGAACTGGAGACGTCCATACAGCAGGATAAGGAGAATCAGCGAGAACTATTGCAGAATGTAATAACCAAGTGTGACGAGACCAATCTCGCCACATTGCATTGGAGGAGCCTGGTTGCCCGCCTGCTGCCTTTGGATTATGGACCGGCAGCTAAAGGGTTAATTTTACTGTGCAGAAGGATTTATTTCTCCCTTTCTGCACAGCCGTTCGGTAGATTCCATCTACCAAACAAACAGTTTCTTTTCAGCCTCCCCAGAGCCGTGGGAAGCCGGCCGGCGACCTTAATTGGCCACCCAGAAGCTGGAGTGCGCCCTCCATTTACCTCCCTGAAGCCGCGGTTAACCGCGGCTTAACGAGCGTGTGCCGGCAATTGACCACCCAGTAGCTGCGGTTAACCGCAGCTTAATTGATTGTTACTGGGTGGTCGCGGTTACACTTAGCCGCCACACGATGGCGGTGTTCTGGAGCTCCCCGGGCAGCCAGCGCTTGTCTGCCCGGCTTTCATGCACCAAACCCGGACACTTTTACGTGCAGGCACCGCTGAACCTCCAACCCCTGGTTCTAATTCGCACGGATTGAACGAATGCATGTAAATTCGGTATTTTATGTTGGAGGAATGTTTTAACTCAGATAGCTATGCCATGGAGCCTATTCGTGGAATTAAAGACTTTGGCTCCATGGCAATTAAAACTGTATTCGTGTGGTCTGAGTGCCATTCACCTAATAATGTGCACTCAGACCTGAGCTATCTGGGGATATGTTACATGTCTGTGTTTTATGTAGTAAATGTTACTTTGTGCATTTTAAAATATTATGCTGGTTTTGTGTTCCCACGTGTGTAATGGAGTTTTGCCTTTGTCTTGGGAGATAATGGAGTTACTTCCCAATTATCTCCCAGGGCAGAGGGGAGGAAGCCAGGATGCATTGTGGGAATATACTGTGACTGTGTGTCCTATTTGTATACTTGTCTGTCCCTTGTCACAGTCTCCCATCTGGTCCCCTAGGAGAGTGTCCACCAGGTGGGAGACCTGCATAAAAGCCGGGCAGGTAGCCCTCATTAAACAGACCACTGCTTGACCCTCAACACGGAGCCTTGTCTTGTTCTTGGGGGGATTCACTGTATGCTGTTAGAGACTGATTGCCAGGAGTGTAAGCTGATTGTCTGCTTTTCCTGTTCGTCTGCTAGCAGCTATTTGGGAGGTTCCAGTTCGGGAGTTGGAGTGCTATTTTGTATCCAGTTCGGGAGCTTGGTGTTCTGCAGCAGCTGTGCCTGTATCTCTGGAAAGGGGGCCGATCGCCTAAACGGTTTTTACCCCTTGTGTGCAAAACGGTCCGTTACAGTAAGGTACGTTCCATGTCGAACATTTTGAATGAGGGCGTTAGGCAATTTACATCAGCAATGGTTTCCTTGCAGCAAAATATGCAGTGCTTTATGGAAATGAGGGAGAAAGAGTGCATTCTAAGGCGCGCGCAAGCTGCCCATAATTTGGGCATAATCATCGCTGATGTAGATAGCCTAGTTCATGAACGACGTGCGCAGGGTCTTCCCAGAAGGGATGATGATGATGATGAATAGATATCTGTGGGAAGAATGCACTCAGATGTTTATTTCTCATTATCATCCACAATGTGAACACAACTGACGCTGTTCATCGTAGGTTGTTACATTCTCAATTTCCTCCTGGTTTTCCCTATCCTTCCCCTGAATATACATTGGTTCATTCTCCTCTGCACTATATCCTCCCAGGACTGCTCCTAACAACCTGGGCTGCCTCTGCTTTGTTGCTTCTCCCACTTGCTTTTCTAATTAAAAAAATATTGGATTACAACTTCTGACTCCTCTTTTCTTTAATAATTTATATATATATATATATATATATATATATATATATATATATATATATATATATATATATATATATATATTTTTTTTTTTTTTTTTTACAAAAAATATATATACACATAAAGCAAATAGTGAACAGAGCACTCCTTAGGAAGTTTTCAATTGTGTATTTAAGTAATCTTGATTACTTATTAAATACATGTGTGACGAGAGCAATCTTGCCACATTGCATTGGAGAAGCCTGGTTGCTCGCCTGTTGCCTTTGGATTATGGCCCCATGTTAAAAGGCTTGATTTTCCCCTGCAAAGACAAGAAAGCCGGGTCATTTGGTGCTTGCCCTGTTTGAGCAGGGATACCCCAGATAGCTATGCCATGGAGCCCATTTGTATAATGAAAGATTATGAGAAAGACTTTGGCTCCATGGCAATTGATCTGTATGTGTGTGCTCTGAGCGCCATTCAGTAATAATGTGCGCTCAGACCTAAGCTATCTGGGCATATGTTGCATGTCTATATTTTATGTCATAAATGTAACCTTGTGTATTTTATTGTATTTTACTGTCTTTTTGCTGCCATGTGTTCAATGGAGTTTTGCCTCTGTCTTTGGAGATAATTTGATTACTTCACAATTATCTCCAGGATGTTAGACTCTGTGGAACTGTTTTTTGGCAGAAAAGCCATGCTTCCTGTGGTCACAAAGGACTACGATCTATCTTTTGAACCACTGGACCAATTTGTATGATTTTGACGTATGTTTGTATTTGGAGTATGCAGATTCTGAAAATGTAAGTGTATGTGAATGTGATGCATACTTTTCAAGTTATGAATAATGGGGAAAAATTGTATTTCTCTGCTTGTGCTAAATTACATTACCCATTGTGTAAGGTAATTGAATCACAAGCAGAGGGGAGGAATTTGTGTGGGAGTGTCTGAGTGTATTGTATGTGTTTATTGGTTATGTTCCAAAACCCTGTGGGTTGTACTAATGTGTAAGAATGTGTACATAAGCACAATAAACCCACAGCTCTGACTGTTCACTGCTTGGCCCTCAACACGGAGCTTTGTCTCGTTCTTGGGGGGATTTATTGTATGCTGTTCCAGTTCGACTGCTAGGAGTGTAAACCTATTCGTATGGTTTTTCCTAGTCGGCTGTTTACAGCATTCGTATGGTTTCCTATTGACTTTAATATTAAAATACACAGTATAAAATATCCATAACGCGTTTCGTCAGACTTTTTCAAATGGAATTCCATTTGAAAAAGTGTTGACGAAACGCGTTATGGATATTTTATACTGTGTATTTTAATATTAAAGTAATTTTTGGTCATTTATTTGTGCCAACTATTCTTTTTTCTAGTTGTATATACACATTACCCTCCTTTTTTTTAACCTGGCTTTTTAGTATGTTTTAGTATATTTTTTAGTATTTTATATACTATTATATACCAACATCTACTTCGGAAGTCTCCTGTATTCCAAGAAATCCAGAGGTGGGGATTAATCCACCTATGCTGATACACAAGAGCAGTCGGTCTGCTCCTCATTTGTAAGTACATTTTTATCTACTTATATTAAGACTACTATAACAGTGAGCACTATCGGCTGTCTCTCTTTTTCCTTATTTGAGAGTTGGACACCACTGACAGAGATACCCACGACATATCCTATAAGCGGGGATCATACCGCTGTATGCACTTTTATCCTAGAGCTGGACATAAGCTCTATTAAATTGGAACCAATACAGTTTATGAAGACTTCACTACTGCACTTCTTGTTATAAAGACTATTCGCAAGGACACTTAAGTTGAACTTTTTACCTATTGAATTTATTTATCCCGTTGGACTTTTTACTTGAATTTATTTTATTTTATCCTTCTTTAGGCGCAGCCTTTTTATTGTTTTATTTGTCTTGTTTTAAAGGGTTTGGAGGGTTTCCCTTTTTAAGGTTGCTGCCTGTTAATTAGCGCTGTCTCTTTTATATATTTTTTATTAGTGTTTCAATGTATTACAACGATGCTATCATCAGTGAAAGTGAATTTTTTTTTTTTTTTTTTTAACACACAAATGGCACTTACCCGGACAAGATAATTGTTGTGATACGTTTTACTGTTTAGAAACACTAATTTTTGTGTTCAGCGAAGTCTCCTGAGTATAACAGCACCCCTCATGTACAGGTTTTATGATTGTAACTAATCGACAGGCACCCTGACTGGGTACCTTCGTTGGAGGATGCTCCTAGCGCTTCCAGCACTCCAGCCGACACCATAACCACAGTAGACTCCTTCAGAGCGCAAACCGGGAACAAGCTCTTACAAGAGTTTAGGAGTGATTATAGCAAGGGAATATGCAGAGCATAGCAATCCCTTGTAGCAGATTCCCCCAATAAGAGATAGGACTCAAATTGAGGGTGAAAAAGAACTGAAGCTTTTAATGAGACACTGCTTTTATGCACATTTTGCACACATAGTACTGCCAAAAGGGTGTTGTAAAACAACCAATCAATACGTACAATACACTCAGACACTCCCAGCAATTACAGACAAAATCCTCCCCTCTGCCTGTGATTTAATTACCTTACACAATGGATTAATGTAATTATCACTGGCAGAGAAATACAGTTTTTACATATGTACTATAACTTTAAAACTATACATTCAATATTCAAAAAAATATTATTATTCAGCATACTTTAATTATAAACATAGTCAAAATTCAGCCAATTCCATGCAGGGGTTAAAAAGTTAGCTGGAGGTCCCTTTATGACCGACCGCAAGCACTTTTTCATGCCCAAAACAGTTCCATAGATTTGGGCTGTGCCGTCGGTCAATTTCAGGCATAAAAATGCACGAATTGGTTCAGTAGCAGTGCGAGAGTTCAAATAGCCGAACTGTACCGAACTGCGACCACCCAGCCGTTCGTCAATTAGGTCAATTACTTGCAGTTAACCACAGCTTCTGGGAGGTTAACAGGCTGCACACTCCCATTGCGTGTGGTCTGGCCGTTCGGCCGTTTATTCGGTAAAATAAAAGGGAATAAATAGGGCTAAATGCACGAACGGCATACGAAAAAAAAGGCACTGGTATCCACAAAACTGGGGGGTTTTCAGTTACTTACTACACAGTAAAGATATATAAATATAAATCTGATATAGAATTCTATATACCCCATGGCCTGCAAGCGGACATGCACGCTGCTGAGATCAGCAAGTGCTTTAGGAGACCTTGGGGTATAGAATTTTAGATCAGTTTTTTTATATATATATATATATATATATATATATATATATATATATATATATATATATATATATATATATATATATATATATATATATATATATATATCTTTTACTGTGTGTGTAGTAACTGTGACAACCCCATTTTTGTTGATACCTGTGCCCTTTTTTTCGTATGCCGTTCGAGAATTTAGCCCTATTTATTTGTTCCCTTTTATTTTAGTTACGGTGACGTGACTTTATTTTACTTACAGTGACGTGGGTGCACTGGAAGTGACCTAGGTATAGAAATCTGATAGATACAGATTTCTGATAGAGCACAGGAAGTCCCTCTAGTGCAGTGGTTCCCAACCCAGTCCTCATGTTCCCCCTAACAGTACAGGATTTATTGATTACTCAATTGTGTCTAAGGTGTTTTGGGGGAAAAACCAAAAAAACACTAGACACAACAGGGTAATCCCTAAATCCGGGACTGGTAGGGGGTGCTTGAGGACCGGGTTTGGAACCCCTGCTCTAGTGGCTATCTGGTAGTGGAGGAGTTAAAGGAGCACTATAGTGCCAGCAAAACAAACTTGTTTTCCTGCCACTATAGGCTCATTAGGTCCACCCACCCTCAGGGTCCCTGTCCCGCTGGGATGAATGGGTTAAAATCCCTACAGCCACTTACCTTTTTCCAGCGCCGGACTCCCTCTGTGCTGTGGAACTCTCCAACCCCTGCCGATGTCAGATCTGAATGTGCATGCGCACATTTAATTTGATTCATAAGAAAGAAAGTGAAAAAGACAGAAAAAGGAAAAAAGTGAGATAGTAAATAAAAATGTGACCACAAATGGTAAAGAGAAGTGAGTGGGCAATTGGCGACCCACTCGCCTGTTTCATCCCCAGGACAGAGCATCCAAACTCCTTCAGTTCTTGGCTTGGGGAGCGGACCTCCAGAGCTCAAACACAATGCCTGTAGAATATTGCATATTCTATGTTTCTATTGATTATATATATGGATGTGTGGATTGACATAAGTAACAGATGGTATCAATAAGTCACAAGGCTTTCTTTGTCCGAGAGCTCTGGAATGTGGATTCGGGGGTTTTGTCCTTATATGGCTAGAGTTATATGCTGACGTTAGTATTAGCACTTCTATATAGTAACAGAGGGACACGAGGTCTCTCAGTCTAGTCTTGGCTTGGCTCTGTACAACAATGTAACTCTCCCATCAGAAGTCCAGCAATTACCATCTGCTGTTGAATGTCCATTATCCTGTAACAGCATTTATTATGTTTTATTATGTATACGTAACAAAGAATAAACCTGAAGAAACCGTAAGTCAGATTGCGTATTACTACTTTTCAATAATATAGACATATTATTGTGGCGAGCATTCGGCCCAAGAATATATATACAAAATACGTATATATATATCAATCAACTGAAGACAAGAAGAAATTAAGAAGATTCCACATGAACATCCGTCATCCATTCATCTAGTTTTTTACATTGGCTAGCCTGCCAGTCTTCTATTCAAGTTTTGTTCCCACTTCAAGGGGGGAGAGAGAAGAATCGAGTTACAAAGCTTTTTTGGAACTGGGAAAACAAACTTGAAGAGAAAAAAAAGAATCTAGACTGACTGTCATAGATGAACTGTGTTTGTAAGAAAAAGAAAGTTTTCAAATCACAAAGACTGTACAAGACTATTTTCTACAACTGAGAGAAAAAGCACAAGATACAACGTGAATTCTAGAAGCAAGCACGTGGCAG